GGGGCGGGAGACCGGATCGCCAACCAAATGAAGACGCCCCCGCCTGAACGGCAAACCGCAATCATGATCCACGGGGGATTGGCTTTCCCCCCAAGGCTGGTGGGAGCCGTTACCATGATGGCCCCTTACGCAAAGAATGCCGCTATCCCCTTCGCCCTCGGTGCGCTCGGCTCGCTGGGGGACAACGTCGTTGACAGTATCTTCGGCGCGGGTATTCTTAACGGCAACATGTCTCACCCCTCCGAGGACTACCGCGTGGAATATGTGCCATCCCGTGAGCAGACGACGGGCGGTGTTGCAAAAAGATCGAGGGCTGGAAAGACTCGCAAGACGACGGGAACGGTTCGAAGAACACGCGCAGCGCCAAGGACGACAACAAGACGGAAGACGGGATCGTCGAAGCGCGCAGTGCCAAGAAGAACGGCAAAGACACGACGGAAAACCACGGGGCGAGCAAAGAATAGCGGTTTGGATGAATTAAAGAGCATGCTCCTGGATGCTGCAAAGAGCACGGGCAAGAGAGAACAGCGAATCACGCAAAATCGAGCGCCATTTCTAGGTTGAAATCGTCAGCCACAAGTTTGGCGCCCAATGTCCTTGCTTCGGCGCCCGCGGTGGCTTCACGTTTCCATCAGCCCATCAGCAACAGCATCTACCAGGCCTTGTGGGCCGCGTCTTCGACCCCGACGAGCGCCCACATCGGCCAGTCGTTCAACATTTAGAGCGGTGCATATCTTTCCGAAATGGATCTTTGGCTGTTATTCCCCTGGTCAGTTGTCCCGACGCCATCAGAGGCGCCCGCGCCTCCTGTTCTTCCAAGTGTTAGCGCTGATAATGGAGGTGAATACTTGTCCAACGAATTTGAAGATTATCTCAAGAAAAAGGGAATCAGACACGAAACAACCGTTCCTCATTCACCGCAACAAAATGGTGTTGCTGAACGAATGAACAGGACGCTCCAGGAAGCTGCTCTTTCGATGATCTTACATGCGGGAATTGCGAAGAGTTTCTGGGGGGAAGCAATTTCAGCTGCAGCATACATCAGAAATCGAATTGTCACAACTGCAACAGGAGTTACACCATATGAACGATGGTATGGTGAGAAACCAGATGTCTCTAACCTTCGCGTCTTTGGTTGCATTGCATATGCTCATGTTACAGATTCACTACGTCCGAAACTGGAGCCAAAAGCTGAAAAAATGCGATTTGTTGGCTACAGTTTGAAACAAAAGGGATACAGATTGTATGACGAAAACAAACGGAAAGTCTTCATTCGTCGAGACATAATTTTTAGGGAAACAGACTTTGGGCATTCCAATGAAGTGAAGTTAGAGTTGGACCAAGAGAACGAGTTGTACCTGAAGAAAGAGGAAACAGAGAAGTCTACTATGCTGAGACGTTCAGCAAGAGAGAAGAAACCGCCAATTCATTATCATGATGAATATGCCAATGTGTCGACAACAACCCATACAGCACTCTATGTAACACAGGTTGAAGAGCCTACATCCTTGAAAATAGCTCTTGAAAGCAAACATGGTCAAAAGTGGAAGGAAGCTGCTGACTCAGAGTATGAATCACTAATGGAAAACGATACCTGGGAACTGGTACCTCTACCACCATGTAGAAAAACGATTTCGTGTAAATGGGTTTTCAAAGTGAAACATGACGAAAACGGCAAAATTGATAGATTCAAAGGGCGTTTGGTTGCAAAAGGCTTCCTACAGAGGTATGGAATTGACTTCGAAGAAACATTTTCACCTGTTGTCAGATTCACGTCTATTCGAGCTCTCTTGGCATTTGCTGTTTCAAGAAACATGTTTATTCATCAAATGGACAATGGATTTCCTACTCTCTAAGTGAAGACAGCTTGTTTTGCATGCCGTGCATTCTGTTTACAGATTTAACGTCTAGGGGAGAAAATATTCGGTCAAATCAAGGAAAATCTTTTGCAAGCATTAGTTTCTCCAAATGGAAAAAGCAGTATATTAGAATTCTGGAGCAAGAAAAATGCAATTCTCATCTAAACGCAAAAGTTGCAGAAGCTCTTTTCCTTCAAGAAAACTCAATATCGGATCAGTTTCATCACCAGGGGAAAATCGAGTCTGAAAGACGTAAAAAGGAAGTTGTTTTAAACAAAACAGTTTTGAAATGTGTGATAGATGTTATTATGTTTCTTGGAAGACAAGGGCTTTCCTTTAGGGGTCACTGTGAATCACTGACAAATTTCTATCTTAATACAGGAAACTTTTTGGAAACGCTTAAATTATTGTCAGAGTACGATGAACCCTTCAATGAGCATCTTGAGAAAGTTCGTGATCACCAAGTGAAGCAATCGACAAAGGATGGTGGTAAAACTGATGTAAAAGGAATCAAAGGACGTGGCTCATGGCTAACGTTTTTGAGCAATGATATTCAAAATAAGTTAATCAATATCATTGGTAAAGAAATATCTTCTATAATTGTACAAAAAATACGAAACTGCAAAGCATGGGCATTGATTGCTGATATAACTCATACCGAGCAATTGAGTATATGCGTAAGGCTTGTTAATGAAACTGGCGAGTGTTCTGAACACGTTTTGTCATGCCCAAAAGCAATTGGAACAACTGCACATGACCTATACACTGCTATTACAACAATATTACAATTGCATGGAGTTTCATTTGAAAGCTTGTTGCCCAAACGTATGACGGAGCATCCAGTATGAGCGGATGTTATAATGGTTTGCAGGCAATTGTAAAAGAGAAAATCGGAAACCACATCATCTATGTTCACTGCTATGCGCATACGCTAAATCTCGTCTTGTCCGATTCAGCTTGTGTTGCTATTGATGTCATTACTCTTTTTGACTCTTTCGAAAAACGGCACGTTCTCTTTAATAATTCTCATAAATAACACGAATTGTTTCAATTGGTTCAAAAGAATGAAAACCTCAAATTTTTTTCGATTTAACGTCTTAATACAGTTCGATGGAATGCAAGAGAATTTTCTCTAAACGTATTTCTTTTAAGGTTCAAGTGCATCATGCGAGTGCTCCAAAAAGTGGCTGAGGAAAGGTCGTTCACTGAAAGTCAGCGAGCAACAGCAAATGGATTGCAAGCAGCTTTTCAGACAAAGCAATTTCTTGCGACTGCCTGTCTTTTCCAAGAAATTTTTGGAATTACTGGACCTTTAGGCGATATCTACTGAGCGTAAATGCTGACTTTGGAAAAGCAGTGGATATGGTTGATAGCTCAATTTCTAGAATTCAAATCATACGTAACAAACCAGAAAAAATCATTGAAATGTCCGATGCTTTTGCGTTAGATGTCGAATGGAGGTCTACACGACCTCGTCGTCGACGACCAATGGACGGAGAACAAGCCAGAGATGATTTGGCAGATTCCCCAAAAGCACAATGGAGATGAGACACATTTTATAAAGTGCTAGATTCCATTCAATCTTCAATGAAGAATCGTTTTGAAAAGAATCGACCACTAATGAAATCATTGGCTTTATTCGCACCTAATCAATTTGACGAGCTCTCGAGCAAGTACAAGACACCTCACGGTCTTCAATCTGCAGTGAAAGCCTTTTGTGATGTGTATAAGATGGATTCCCAAAGATGCGCTACTAAACTGTTAAGCTTTGCAGAAACATTTAAAAAATTTCACTGTTCTCAGTTTTCAACTCAAAATGACCATGATCATAATGAGCAGAACTTTGAAACTATCGATGATGGTGATGGTGATGATGATGATGAAAATCATTCTGATACTGACATAAGTAAGCATTCGAATAATGCGTCAATTACCGAGAAGGCTAAAAATCCGTCATTCCTAGATGCCTTGAAGCTGCTTTGTTTTCCAAAGTACCATTTAGTCGACGCATACCCAACATTATGCAAAGTTTATTCAATTGCAGTGGCCATACCCATTAGCTCAGCAACTGCTGAACGTTCTTTTTCTTCGTTGAAGAGAGTAAAAACGAGGATTCAATCTACGATGGTACAAGAACACCTGGAATCATTGCTTTTAATGGAAGTTGAAAGGGAAACTCTCCCTTTTATCGACAAAGATAGAATCATAACTTTACTCGGGAAAACCTCCCCAGCGCTTGCAAAGGCATTAATATAAATATATTTTACTATGAAAAACAAATAACGTAACAGACATATAATTGCTTGATGATACTTGGTTTTTTAATTACTTTCTTTTTTATGAAGATTCATGTTTGTGTTTTATAAAATAAAAATAAATAAAATACTTGAAAATAGCTATAAGAAAAGGTGAAAGGGGCGCAAAATTTGTGTTGGCCACCGCAGTAAAAACTATGCCACCACGCCACTGCTTCTGATGACTTAAAATTTTTAACATTTTCCTCGTAATCAGCCTCCGTCCTCACTCTGGCAATTAATCGTAGTTTTGCAAGAATCATATTTTTTAACGGGAGCAGTCCGTTGCTGCTTTTTGAAAGCCATCGCTCCCACGCTTGCTCTCGATGGAAATCGCAAATGTACGTCTGACATTCTGTAAAATAGACGTTTCTGATTAACAGTCTGGTGAATGAATAACAATCCATTTTTTGACTCAAGCAAAACTGTGTTGTCATCATCATCGTCATCGTCGTCTTCTTCGTTATCATCACTATTTTCTTGAGTAATCAAAGACTATGCTGAATATGTAGCAAGCGGGCGAAAGAAGAAAGACTCGTCGGGACACCTCAGTTTCCAGTCTTCGATTTTCTTTTGAAGATTTTCTTGGTCAAATTTTGAAAATCGTTCTTTGATGACTGCCTTGTAAATGTGGCTGCGTATGGTTTGTTTGGAAGGATAAAATCTCCGATTGGTTTTAGCGGGTGCCTTTGTTGCTTTGTACAGGTCTTGCTCCACATAGATTTTAAGATGCCTCCTAACTTCTTTAACTGAGCAAGCCCCAGCAACAACCAATTCTTGGATCTTGGAAACAAGCATCTTATCAATTCCTTGATGAAGACCTCCAACCTACATATAGAGGAGCCGATTATAAAACGTAAGGTTTAAAAACAATATAGCAAGACATTGACTTGCACCGTACAAAAACTAGGACTAAATATATCCTTACGCTTCCTATAGGGTGAGTTTTGTGCTCAGATAGGCAAGGCAACTGGATATGGATCCACCTTTCTCCATTGGCATTTCCACCTTTTTGTAAGCATTCCCTAAGTTTTTTCGACATCGTTTTTTGTCGCCAAACCGTTTGCTCTTTAATCTAAAGGCGCGTAAATTTATCAAAAAACCTGTGTGAGTAAAGTTTCAAGGCAAATTGATTTGGACACCTCCAGACATTTTTGTTGTTTACACCTGACAGATCGAGCAATGCATACGAATAAACACCTTTATTTAAAATTACCCTAAATCTGGAAATCTGATCTATTCTCTCATGTGAACTTGTGCTGAACAGTTCAATTTTCTTGTTCCTTGAACCATGTTTCTGTGCTTCTTAAACGAGTGGTCGCTAGAATTTGACTAAAAGATATAAACATGTTGGTAAATAATTACACCTAAAAGGAAAGGCAGCTGAAGAAATTCATGAAGAAGAAAGAAACCAAGATTACATGAGAATGCTAAAAATACAATAAAACTCAAAGTTTCCCTCAAAGTTCTTCACACTGGAAGTTTAATTGCAACGTACTATAAGGTTAGCAACGTCGTTTCACTTTCATTTTACTTTTATTAAATCTGTAGTATTGCATTAGCAGATGAATAATATATCTATTATTGTTCTGTTTTTCTTCTTTTGGCTTGAATGCCTATCTACCCCATGACGACAATCGTAGACCCTATGGTTCACTTGAACGAACGGTATATGGTCAAATGGAAGCTGGCCATCTTCCCACCAAACCTTGTGATTGGCACTTGTGAGATCTAACATTTTTTCGATTAAAAATAGAATAAGTGATTTCATTTAGTTCAAATTGAACCATTATATTCAACTTTACTGTGTGATTTACGTGGTTGTATTCTGTACACATTAAACGAAACCTTTTTAACGAAAAACTATGCTTTGCCTCTTGCTCTTTTTTAGACTAAAGTACTACCTATGAGTTGGTTTTCACCTTTTTTGCGATAAGTGTAGTTTCCCTATTCCTTGCTCGTTCGACACACAACGACAGACTGAGGATAGTAAGACTCAAATGTGCATGGACATTATTATAGTACTTCTTATATTAAAGAATATGACAACATTCAGGTTTCATATAACAATTTGATCTGGACAACAGAAATAAGGAAAGCATATAGATCGATATAGATTAGTTATATTTTGAGAAAAAAATACAAACCTGTGTTCCCAAATCCTTTTTTTGCTTTATTTCCACATAAATCAGTTGTGCTTGCCAACTCGTACTCTCTAAGGAGACTTTCTGCTTCCTCTACATTTTGCACAAGTCCAGAGCGTTCAGATAGTTTGATTTTAAATAAAGTCGCTGCTGAAATGTCAATAATTTTCATATGTATAAAAATATGTGCTTGTTGTTATAAGAACAGTTTACCAGCGGAAACATAAACAGAAATTTAACTTCGTTTGTTTTGTGTGGTGATGTACAATATGCGGAGACTGTTTACTATTTTAAATTATTTCCATTTTCCCGCGATAAGTTTTAAATTGCCACGAATTAAGGCTTTACACGCAAAATTATTACGCAGAATCCACGCAATACGAAAAATAAGCCTCGGGTGTCGGAAATCATCTTCGTAAGAAGTTTCCGAATGCGCCTACTTTTGCTAGATGTCCGAGTGTGCATTCCCGAATACGAAGTAGACGCCATTTTAAATTTCGTTGTTATTGTTCCCATTTGTTCCCAATTGTTCCTTAATCCCTCCTTTCGCGCCATTTTGTTTAATGTTTTCATTTTAAAACAATATCAATTTATCCATAAATGTATATCTGCGTACTAAATATATATCCGCACATAAAATCTGATATATATCTGCGCACTACAAATATATATCTGCGCACTACAAATATATATCTGCGCACTGATAATATATATCTGCGCTGTGTACTGAAATTATATATCTGTGCACTGAAATTATATATCTGCGTACTGAAAATATATATCTGCGTACTGAAAATATATATTTGCGTACTGAAAATATATATCTGCGTACTGAAAATATATATCTGCGTACTTTATAAATATATCTGCTCAATGAATATATATTTACTGCTCCACTAATATATATCATGAATAATAAAAACATTTCATGCAAAATACTTTGATTTCTATTCCTAACTTATATATCCGCATTGCCGCTGTGGGCCACCGTAATGAACGCTTCATATAATGCAACTATATATGGATGAATTATACTTTGTTATATTAATAATATCACGAAGTACAAAATGCTATAAATTTTCGATCGCTATGCACTGAGCGAGCGACGTACCAAATACGGCCAAAATATAACAATCTTAATAACTTAAAAGACAAAATTGCATTTTAATTTAATATCACAGAAACATTTTGGCCTAGCTTTCGCTTTGAATAATTCTCAAGAACAAACATCGGATTATTTTACAACGCATGCGCAGAAGCTATCACAATATTCAAACCACTGATATGTATATTACGCTGGATAACGCACCATGTATAAAATATAGTAAAATAGTTGAAGCCGGAAGTTTTCTCATCTGATTATGACCTTCGTGGGGCATCGGTCCCACTTTACAATACTTTTGTATTACAAAATTACAGTTTTTGCGTTTTTATTCGTTCAACCAACATTTGATTCGAGCAAAATTTTTGTGAAAGGGTCAGAACAACCGGCAAAGATATTTAATCCAAAAAAGTTTGTCTTCTTGGCTTTATAATGGCAGAAAATTGAGATGGTACAAGGTCGACCTGCATAGTTTTGACACAAACTGGATATTATATGATGATGCTACTTCTTAGAAAATGTAGAAATATTACAGAATCCTACTACTGCTACCAAAATTTCATCTGCAATGACGTTTATGGAAGATTGCTACAAATTTACTTATTTAACAACACTTTGTTATTCACATCGCTAATATCATAATGATTTCAAATTACGTCTTTATTATATCATTGAAGAAACAAAACAAATAGACATAGAAAAATAATCAGAAAGACATTTTGAAGAACAATAGTAAGTTGAAAACGGTATTATCAAACTCTACGGGATGTACATCATCAAAATATTCGAATTAAAGTAACTCTGTTGCCATTTTTATGATCGTTCGAAATATGAGTATATTTCGGAACAAATCTTTGTACGGAATAGACAAGATGTATTTGCTTTCTATATGTATATTTTACTAACGTATCATTGACATGTTTTTCTTTCTTACACTCTCCATAATAAAATGTTTTCAACAAACAAAACAAAAAACAAAACTATTTTTAGGTAAGAATGTACAGTTGTTTAGAGCTTGTTTGTATTCTGCAATCTTCGCAACTGTCCTGCTATTCCCGCGCTGCGCTGTGGTCGATCAGTTGGACGAAGCACTTGTTGTTCTTCGCAGTTCTTATCGCTCTCTACTCTTTCGTTACTGTCTTCTTCCTGATGAACCTCAATTGGAATAAGTTGCCTGATAGAACGTCGCAACAAGTATGAATGATAAGAGTCTCTACGAAGGACTTTGACTTGTGCAGCTCGTGTAACTCCATCGTCACCTTGTAACAATTGTTCAACTTTCGCCACCTTCCAAAAGATACGTTTTGTTTGATCGTTGCGAATAATGACGATATCTCCAACTGCTATTTCGGGATTTTGATTACCTCTTGACTTTGAGGTGTGCTGCTCTCGTAAAGCTAAACTATACTCGTTTCTCCATTGAAGAGCAAAACGTTGCAGCAAATTTTGGTGATGTTTCGCCTTTCTCGTCAAACATTGATAGGTGCTCTAAATTTCAAAGTGCTCACTGTATGGCATGGTCGTTATTCGTCTTCCATACACCAAGTGCGAGGGGCTTAGCGGAAGAGATACAACTTCTTCATCGTCGTACACGTAGGTTAGGGGTCGTGCATTTATCACGCCCCTCGACTTCAACCAAAATAGTATGCAACTCGTCGTAGGTTAGATTGGTTCTACCAACTACCTTTGACAACGGACGTTTCAGGCTTCGAATCAAACGTTCCCAGAAGCCTCCCCACCAAGGGGCGGTAAACTGACATGTAATCTGATGGTTTGCAAAATAACGTAACACTTCCTCAGAACGACATAACTTGCAAATTTCTAAGCATGCAGCTCGAAAAGTCTTAGCATTATCGGGTATAAGAAGAGCTGGCACTGCTCGTCGACTAGCGTATCTGCGGAACTCGCGGAGAAAGGTTGGAACGCTTAAGGAAGGAGTGACCTCCAGATGAATGGCTCTAGTAGACTCGTAAACAATAGAATATACACCTTCGTTGGATTATCCGACAAATTATTCCTGTCGCAACTCTCTCGTACGAACAACGGTCCGGCAAAGTCCAAACTTTCGTTTGTGAAAGGGGATCATCCTACACTCTGCTAACAGGAAGATCTGGAGGAGGCTTTCTCCCATAAGGAAGACATTCAGCTTTACAACAAACAACACATTTCCTGACGATTTTCTTTACTGCTTCTCGACCACTCTAATGGTTGTTAGTATATCACGAATCCCGCTGTACTTCACATTGTGGTGAATTTTTCAGTCTTCCATGGCACCGCAGCACGTGATCACCGTCGAGAAATAGCCCAAATTGCTTAACATAATTAGGTATCGAAGAATTCGCATTCTTTGATAGAAGGAATAATATTTCTTTTTCAAAGGATAGCTGATAGCAGCTGCGCCTTCCTTATTTCGTCTGAGCTTAGTCCTTCTGAGGTTGTGAGTTTGTTTGTTGTTCGCACGCACCGTGGCATCTTTTTTTAACATGTTGATGAATCTCATTACATAAGCAGTTATTCGAAGAAGTTTCTTCATGGAGCTATAACGAGTAATGTCGATTGCTTTGTTAAGATCTGGCATGGCTCGTTGTTCGATTTCATTCGAAACTAGTGATGTCACGACATTCGGATGCTCTTTCACAATTTCTCTCAGAACTTCGTCACTTTGTGAGAGGTTGCCAACTGGACGTTTTGGCCACTCTTCTTTGCCCCTTGCCAAGAATTTGAACCATAAGGAAGAATTCGAAAGTTGTTGCCCAGAAATGCCTCGTGAGGTTAAATCTGCAGGATTAAGCGATCCAGGACAAACGTTCCAAGATTCCGTCAGCGAAATACTTCGAAATACTTCGATGCTGCACGAATGGTTTCCATGCTCGATTGTTTCGTATCCAGTGAAGTGCTGTCATCGAGTGAACCCAATAAAAAACTTCCAGACTCCACTTGAGTGCCTCTAACAAAGACTCTACTAACTTCGCCAGTACAGTCGCTGCCACCAGCTCTAAACGGGGAATTGTTTGCTTTTTCACTGGAGCAACCTTTGTCTTTAAAGCGATTAATTTCCCGTCGATGGTACCATTCTCATAGACTGTTCTTACATATACAACAGCAACATTTGCACCTTCAGATGCATCAGAGAATCCATGAAATTGTGTAGTAAAGTATTTACTACACAATTGCGTTCACGTGAAACGTGTATATCGATCGACGACCAGCAGTGCGCTGAAAGGCACAAACAATGTAGGGAATGATAAAAGACATGAACGACCGCAAGACAAAAAGTAGCGATAACGTAACTTCGTCATTTATTGTTACACGAAAACGAGAAGAGCACCAAAGATTTAAATATAATTCTGAACTAACTTTTATCACAAAAGTAATAATTGCTTAGATAACAATCGAAAACTGTCGACATCAACGATTCAACGGTCAGTCAAGAGAGACGCAAACATAAGATGTGACATAAGTTTTAAGCGCTCAAATTCTTAAAATACGTTTGCATAAATTAGCTAAAACTGAACAGCAATTCGACAAAATAAATAAGAAC